TCAACTAGAACTAGGTTATCTATCGTATTTTCGATTAATATTTTAAAAAAATCATTTGACATGACACGACATTGCATTTAAGAGCACCTTTTTTAATAAAACTACAATAATAACTATTTTATAAACTTCCCAAGTTTCTCGTTTTATAAACCCCCTAACTTTACGGGTTTCTGTAAAATAATTTTTATAATAAAACTATTCTAAGTATATATCTGATTATTGTCCAAGAACGTATGAAAAAGCTCATCATTTAAGCATTTAAAAAAAATAAAAGCATAAAGCTTCTAAACTTACTTTCACCAGAGGAACACTCTTAGTCAAACCTTCACACCAAAAAAGTATTTTTTGCCAATCTAATATTTTGGTAACTTGCTCATAAAGTATCTTAATTCACACGGTATTCATAATCTGAAGTTTAAAATCGTAAAACAATCGTGAGAAAGTTCTAAAATGTTTTTCCGGCTTTTCCGAAAGCGACCGGTAAACGCACGAGATTTTCGCAAAGTTTCCGCGCGCGACGCGTATATTTTCACCGGAAATCGCCCCGATACGGACGCACTGACCGAAGGGATGGTTCGCGTGGAATGAAGCCTCTCGGCGCGCAAAGACACCCCGTAGGCAACCAGCCGAACATCGATCTGAAGGGATGGTCGCAGATGGACTTCTGGTGCGCCGGCTTCTAAAAGATAGTTTCGATGGAAAAAGAGAAAATTTGGAAAAGCACTGACAAATTTATATTCAAGTAAAAGTTTAGATAGTGTGTATCTTTACCACACTAAAAACAAAATATTTCTTTATAACACTTAGCTAGACATTGCCAAATAAATTAGGCAAAGAAAATAAAGTTCTCCTACATTGGGTGCCGCCTCACAAAGGGATAGAAGGTAATGAAATATTAAACAATCTAGCTAGAAAAGGAGCATACACTCTACTAACTGGACCAGAACCGTTCTGCTTCCTTAGTGGAAACATACATACATACATACAGCCGTTACTCGCTGACGAGTATTCGACACACATAAAGAAATGGTCACGCAAGGCGTTTTCTTTCATGAGCTTTTCTGTGACTGAAAAGCCCGATACGTGATTTTATCTGCCTACCGCACTCCGGACATTCAAAAATCTCATTGCTTTGTTGCCTGTTTACTTTACGGTTGTCGCTGTTAACTGAGTTTACAACTCTTCTCCATTGAGTTCTATTGTGAGCTGCTTTTTCCCACTCATTCTGCATGTTAATCCCTTTTAAGTTTTTGTGGAAAATGTCCTTGTACCTTTTCAGTTGTCCACCCGGCCTCCTCTTACCGTCTACAAGCTCACCGTAGAGCAGAGATTTTGGTATGCGGTTTTCTTGCATTCTGCATACGTGACCAGCCCATTTTAAGCGGGATTTTGTAACCATGACTCCAATACTTTCGCAGTTAGCTTTTTCAAGGACCGATACGTTTGGGACATGATGGAACCACCGGATTCTTAAGAGTTGTCTAAAGGTGCGTATTCATTATTTGAACGAACGAACGAACGAACGAACGAATGTTCGCTAGTGGTATGGACGGAGACCGTACGATAGAACCGCACGAGAAGACCGGAGGCATTTGTTTGGTGAACGCCTTTGAAGGTGCGTATTCATTATCCGAACGAACGAACGAACTAATGAAAGTGCGGTATATTTAGACGGGGACCGAACGCATGCGGCCGTTCGTTCGTTCATTCGCTCGACCATCCGTTTCGAGTCGGTACATCAAAAGCGTTCGCGTCCAGTCTAAGACTGGACGCGAACGAACTCCGAACGAACGAACGAATGTTCGCTAGTGGTATGGACGGGGATCGTACAGGTATGTACGATAGAACCGCACGAGAAGACCGGGCCATAGACCGGACGCATTTCTTGGCGAACGCCTTTGATGTACCGACTCGAAACGGATGGTCGAGCGAACGAACGGCCGCATGCGTTCGGTCCCCGTCTAAATATACCGCACTTTCATTCGTTCGTTCGGATAATGAATACGCACCTTAAGGTGCCTCTGTTGCAACTTGTTTAATGCGTTCATGTGTCGGCGGTACGGCACCCAGGTTTCACTCCCATATAACATGATGGGAATTATAATTGCTCGGTACACTGCAAGTTTTGTTTTTGTACTCAAGTCATGATTGTAGAAAATCCTGTCTTTTAATTTCCAGAATGCTCTTGAGGCGCTACTAATCCTGTGCTGAATTTCAGAATCAATATTGGCCTTTTCCGAAATCAAACTGCCAAGGTAATTGAATTCCGCCACATATTCCAATAGTTCTTCTCCAATTTTTATAGCATTGTTGTGATCTTCCAGGGGAGTGCACATGATTTTAGTTTTGTCGATGTTTAGCTTAAGGCCCAAAGCCTCGTATGCCCAGGTATATGTGTGCAACATTTCGTGTAATTGTTGTACCGTGTTTGCAACTAGAGCGCAGTCGTCAGCGTATTGAAGTTCTGTGATGAATTTTGTACTTGTTTTTGCCCGTGTTTGAGTCTTTTTATGTTGAATAGACCGCCGTCGTATCTGTATCTAACGCCCAATCCTCCTGCAGTTTGCTGTCCACTATAATGGAGAACGCTGCCATGACTCCAATACTCTCGCAATACACTTAGTGGAAACAAACTTAAAGCAGAACTCAAAAACCTGGAAGACTCCATTCGTAATCTGGAATGGGAATCATTTAACGGTAGATACTCGATGAAATTTCTCTTACAACTGAGAAAAATCAAAGATTTTTCTTGGTTTAAGTAAGAACAATGTTTGGATTTTCACGGGGTTTTTAACAGGACACTGTCTTTTCAATAAGTACCTCAGTAGTTTGAAGCTAAGAAACAACGGCGAATGCAAATTCTGGGGAGATGATGAGGAAACACCAGAACACCAGGTGTTCTCGTCGCTGAGTGCACCGAGCACTCATTCGTGCCATAAATTTTAGTACGATTGTGCTATTGTAAATGGAGAACTAACCTCTGTAAAACCGTCTCAGATACTGGTGAGACTGTATTATAAGTTATAACTCAATAAAGGGGGACACAATATATTTCTCTGGTCGCGGTGATTAACTTTTCCCCTCCCATACAATCTACAATCTAGACATCAGCTCTTCATTTATCAGTTATAAACAAACTTATCTAAAATAGACATAACCAAAAAAACACTAGAAGTCTTGCTTCAATATGTTGACGACACCTTCACGTCAGACTTACGATTGAGAAAGAGCAAAACCTCTATCTGCCGTTTCTAGAGGTTCTTGTGAGCTTCTTCTAGATGTTCATTAGGACATGTATATCCAGGGTGAGTCTTAAATAAGTGCAATTTTTTTAATGGTGGTATGCTTAGATCCCAGAAACACGTCAAACATTAAGTTTTTCTTGCAAAAAGATTTTTTTGAACATTTGGAATTTTTTGAAAAAAAATTTGGGATTTTTTTAAAATGTTTAGTTAAAAAACGTAATATCTTCATAATGTGGCATCATAGGTAGTATATTAAATTTATAAGAAAAGAAAAACAGAAAAGATCCAGTAAAAGATCCAGTATCTCAAAATGTAAGTGAAAAATATTTTTTTTTATTTTCAAAATAAAATGTCTCGGTTATTTTGAACTTAATTTTAAAAACGATAAAGAGAAAATATGTTTCTTTTATCGAGATCTACCAGCCCTGAAAATATTTGCACTTATTTAAGGCTTACCCTGTATACTGGGTGCGTCTCAAAAGTGGCTCACCCCTATAACTTTTTTACTTCTTCTGATAACAAAAACGAGATTTTGCATGTTAGTATATGACATAAATTAAGATTGATTAACATATTCAATTGTTTTTGGTTACTTCCTGTTTCACCGGAAATGACTACAACTTTTGATTTTCAAATGGCACCCTCGATATTTTTTTTACTTTATTAGATAGAAAATGTCATTCTGAATAGAATAGCATATTATATGTTATTAGTGTTTTTAGTGTCTTGTCCTGGCCAGTTAGAAAATGCTCAAATCGTATTTTTAATCATATCTCAGTTTTTTCAAATGAAACGAGAGTGGCTCATTAGCACATTTGGAAAAAGCATTTTTTTATGAATAATTTGATACCACACACTTGGTATTTCGAGTCAGATTTTCGTTACGAACCGCAAGTTATAATTTCATTTACACCATATGTCATTCTATTCGGAGTGTTATTATCTTTCGAATAAAGTAAAAAAATACGGATGGTGCCATTTAAAAATCAAAAGTTGTAGTTATTTCCGGTGAAACAGGAAGTGACCAAAAACAATTGAATACGTCAATCAATCCTAATTTATGTCATATACAAACATACCAAATCTTTTTTATCTGGAAAAATAAAAAAGTTATAGGGATGAGCCACTTTTGAGGCGCACCCGGTATAGAAAACCTACACCAAAACATTCCAGTATTTAAAATTTCAGTTCAGAAGTAACCATTCTGAAGCAACCAAAATAGGTATAGTTAAAACATGATGTCATCGAGCAATTAGTATATTATTATGTTGTGACCAATCCCTTGATTTTGAACTAAGTAATATTAAAACGGATTTGCTTTAGAATAAATGCTCTGCGAAGTCCCTCTTAAAGATTAGAAGACTGACTTACAATAATTAGAAAACTGACTCATTGTTGCGGTGTCTGAGAAAGATGTTCTTGACGGTTTCATTTGAAACAAACGTCAAAAAAGATACGCCGAGAGTTAAACAGTATAAAATTAAAACTCTTTTTAAGTCTAGGACTACTGTAAGAAGTGTCCTAACGAAAACAAAATCGGAATCGGAAAACAAGGGAAAGGTTCGGTGAGTCGTATATTGTAGAGACAAAACGTCCTCTAAATGTACTTAACGACTTAACGAACATAAAAAACATACTAAAAGAGGTGAAACAATGAAGTCAGATATTGCAGACCATGTGTAGTCCCAAGTTTCTCACAGGTGAAACAAGTGAATAAGGTCAGTGCTTTTACAGTCCCATCAATAAAATACAATCTTCCAAAACTTACGTTTTATTCACCGGTATTTAAATTAAATTAACAAAACTATTAAATAATCTACGTTAAAAAAACAAAATTAAAATAACTAATCCACCCCAATCTAATAAGGTTGCTGCGTTTGGGGTACTTGAGCTTCTTCGATGGTCCTGTGGTACACCTTGGTATCGTAGAAGTACGAGTTTGGTACTTCGTGGACAAACATTTCCTCAAATTTAATTGGTCGGTCTAATGGGAAATAGGTTGAGGTGTCGTCGACGTATCCTCCACCGGTACCAGGATGAGGATAGAAGAAAGTGGTTTCTTCAGTTTGGCCTTGGTAGGGTTTGTAGGGAATGACAACGAAGTAGAATTGGTAGGGTACGCCACCAACTGTACCTTTGGGTAGCATGTATCTGTAAGAAGAAATATGTGTAAATAAATGTAAAAAATAAGATAATTAGAAAATGTGACACATTTCTGGGAACTGTTTTTACTGTTTAAAAGCTTTTTGTAATGCAATAAATGTACGTTATATTCTGTTCAACTTCATATTTTGATAAATAGCCCCACTAATTGTTTTGTGTTAATTTAATTATATACTAACCTATCAGGGAAATAGAAATAATTGTCTTTTCCTGTAACATGGAATTTTCCAGCACCTTTATAGGCCTCGGTAACCTTCTTGGTCAGAACTGGATATGACGTTTTATCAGCAGCAAAGAACATGGTCTCATGAGAGCTACGCTTGATCACATTTTGTCCTACTTGCAAATGCCATTTGAACGAATCAATTGGAACAAAGTTAACTCTAAAATTAATAAAAACAAATAAAAACAGAGTTACTAGATGTAAAATTCAAAAAAACTATACCTGTTTACGCTAATATTGATGGGTTTGCCATATTCGTCGTGTTTTGGTCCAAGGAAAACTTTAACAACAGCTTGGGTGTCTTGGTTGGAGTTCACGTGAATTTTATAGGTGAACGGTTTGTGATTGAGACGTTGTTGAATAATCCATACCTAGAAATTCAAGACACATTTTAAATACTAGTTGTATTTATTATTCAGGGTGAGTTTCCTACGATGTTCTCTATGGGTATCTCGAAAACTATTGGAGATAGAGAGTCGGTTAAATGGGGAAAGAATTGCAGTTTTGTGGGGTCATAAATATGCGTCTTTCAGATTTTTGAAAAAGTTCATGGCTTACTAGATATTTCGAAAAAAAAACAATTTTGGCTATTTTAAAAATTGTGTCCCTAATTCCATTATAATCCATTTTAAACAAAAAGTTTTCAGATAAAAGTTTTTTTCTAAAGCTTGTCATTTTTGACATATGACACAAACATATGTTTTTTTAAATGGAAACCATAGTTGGCAATTGTTTTTTTTTTAGAAATGACTGAGTTATAGCTAATTCTTATCATTTTTAAACAATTTCACTTAGTTAGCCATGGAAACAAGTTCAATCGCCGTTGCTCTCAGAAATGTGAAGCTGTCACATCCAAACTTTGTAAATTAAAATAAATAAAAATGGTAAATATGAATTTTTCAAATGAAGAAAAGCGTATAGGATTATTGGTTCAACTTTTCTTGACCATACTTTTCGAGGATACGTCGACAGGTGAATGTTACGTTTTTTAGAGAACGGTTTTCAAGACATAACAGTAAAATTTAGTTATAGCCAATTCTTATCTTTCTTGACTAATTTCACTTAGATTGCATGGTATTCTTATTCTGTTATGATTTATCACTTATAAAAAGTCAGAATATATTATTAAAGGGTTCTTTACAATTTACATTACACAAACTAAATCTTAAATGACAAGCTTTAGAAAAAAAAACGGAGAACACAATTTCATTAAGGATGTGATTATCTACAACTTTTATCTGAAAACTTTTTGTCTAAAATAGATTATAATGGAATTAGGGACAATTTTTAAAACAGCCAAATTTTTTTTTCGAAATATCTAGCAAGCCGTGAACTTTTTAAAAAATCTCAAAGGCGCATATTTATGACCCCACAACACTGTAATTCTTTCCCCATTTAACCGACTCTCTATCTCCAGTAGTTTCCGAAATACCCATAGAGAACATCGTAGGAAACTCACCCTGTATATAAAGACTGAAATGTATATTTCTGGAAAAAACTTTGTTTGATAAAATAAATTATAGATAGAGATAACTTACCTGGGCTGATGGGTTTTTCTTTACTTGAACCTCGGAGGTCCACACAGCGTTAGTGACATCACTGAAGAAGTTCTCAAAGTACGTGATCAATCTATCCATCTCAACTTTTTCAATGGTGACACCTGGGAATACTAATTCGTCCTTAGTGTATGGTTTCAAGTTATGTTGGAATTCGTGGTGGTACGACAGTAACTATAAACAACGAACATTGTTAATTAATTTATGATCATTTTACATCAAAAAGTTCGGTACGTACTTTTTTGTATACCATATAAATGGCTGGATCTCTTAAAGTTGTTTCGGGGTGGTCCAGGACAGAAGGAACAACATGCTCCCAGGTGTCCGAGGTGTGGGAGTATCCCAAAATGTGTTTGGCGTATGCTAGGTAGCTACAGTAGTATTTGTGGTGAGGGGAGTCAGCATTGGCGTGAATTAGATTGCCAAAAACGTTTTCAGGGTGTTTATCTTCATAGATATTAAATTTCTTTCCTGTATCCTGAAATTAAATGATAAAGGTCAATCCAAAGTAATTAAATACTTACACAAATGAAATATAATACACTCAAAAACATTTTACCATTGGTAAGAGTTGCATTTATGTTCGCACTAAAGGTAGGTTCACTCCTCCAACTTCCAGTGACATATAAAAAATGTACAAATTTGAGAAGCACCTCAATGTAGTATTGAGCAACAAAAAGATAACAATAAAAGCATTCTTCTGAGAGAAAAAAACTTTTTGTATTGTAACTCCAAAAGTATCGACCTAAAGGGTATCGTTAAATACTTACTGTGATTACATATCCGCTGTCAACAACTTCACTAATGCGATCTTCACACTGGTGGACTTTGGTGAAGCTGTGCTCGTACTTAGTACCAATATCTTCCAAGTGGTTTACTTTAGAATCGTGCAAGTCAACGTGGTTGGGTCTTTCAGGGAAAGGTTCTCCAGTGACGTACTGGAGGAAAGGATAGTAAGGTACGTCGACCGGAACGTGGAAATCAAGGATAGGAATGTGGCCTTTTCCGTTGGAGAGTCGTTCCATGTGGTATCTGGCAACGAGGGCTTGAATGATGTTCATTGTGAGTTCACCTATCAAAAATAAAATTAGTATTAGGTGCTTGTTATATAAAAGAAGAAAAAATTATAGTATATTTAACAAAACTTTGGTTGCACATCATAATACGACCACCAGCAAACTCCATAAGACGACGCATGGTGTCATTGATGACGTGCAACCAAAGTTTTGTTAAATATACTATAGGTCCGGTTGGAACGAACCTTATAGAACACAAAAATGATACCCTTTTTGGAGAGTAGTACAAAAAATATTTTTACCTCGTTTGTCGTGGTTAATTTTAAATTCTTCGCCATCCATCCAGTAGGGATAGTGGATGTGGCAATAGTAATGGAAAGCGTTGATACCAACATCCTCCAAATAATACGACATGGATTGTTCGTGATGCAAGTTCAAGTGATGACCTGAATAGTTAGCGTGAATAGCATTGTGGGCGTGAGTATCAGTTACCACCTAAAACAAATTTTATTCAATACAAAACAGTAAAGTTAGATCAATCAGTTTTTCAAATTGTGTCTTTTTTTATTGGCTACTCTATATTGATCCTTTTTATTGATTTGGTATATTATTTAATAAAATGATTTCAATTTAAATATTTTTTGAGGAACTACATACGTTACTGTTTTCTGTTCCATGAACCATAGCGTGTTTGTAGACTTCTTGAATAGCATCGGTGCTGTAGAAGTGCCATGGGTAGACTTCATAAATTGGTGGTAAGATTATTCCATAAGTATCGGGTCTGTGTACTACAGCGACAGAAACTGAATACAAGAACGTACCTAAAAATTGATTTAAAATAGTTAACATTAGTTTTAAGATGACCTTGATGATTTTAAGATCATCGGATTGTCTCTAATTTTTGTTTCGTCCACAATAAAATCCTTAAGTGACTGACTCACTGATTAATCACGATCCTCCTCAAACCACTCAACGTAAGAAGCTCAATTGTGGCATACAGGTTGATTCTAGGGTGTAGAGGTTCGATAAGAAGGGATTTTTCGAAATTCCAGTTCCAAGGAGGTGAAACCACCCCTCAAATATTACAATATTTTTTATTTAAAAAACGTTTTTCCGAAAAGTTTCCGAAAAAAACGCTTAAACATGTATATTTTATTTTGTTTTTTTACACATATTTTAAGATTTTTTAAAAATGTATACAGGGTGTTTCGAAAAATCTGGTCATTGATTAATCACGATCCTGCTCAAAGCGCTTGACGTAAAAAGCTGATTTGTTTAAAACGGATTGACTTTAGGGTGTAGAGGTTCGATAAGAAGGGATTTTTCGAAACTCGAATCCTAAAGGGGTGAAACCAACCCTCAAATATTAGAATATTTTTTATTTAAAAACCGGTGAGTTTTTCGGAAAAACTCTTAAACACGTATATTTTATTTTGTTGTTTTACATATTTTAAGATTTTTTAAAAATTTATACAGGGTGTTTCATAAAATATGACCATTGAGTAATCACGATTCTGCTTAAACTGCTTGACGTTTATAGCTGATTTTTGTCAAACGGATTGACTTTGGGGTGTAGAGGTTCGATAAGAAGGGGTTTCTCGAATCTCAAATTCCAAGAGGGTGAAAACGCTCCTCACATATTACAATATTTGTTATTTAAAAAACGGTTAGTGGGAAAACGCTTGGACACGCATAATTTATTTTGTTTTCTTACATATTTTAAAATTCTTTACAAAATCATACAGGGTGTTCCAAAAAGTTGGGTAATTGATTAATCACGATTCTGCTTAAACTGTTTGACGTAAAAAGCTTATTTTTGGCAAACGGATTTTTCGAAAGTCAAATTCCAATGAGATGAAACTACCCCTCAAATATTACCAAGTTATATAATAATATCGCTATATTGTTTTTTCTCATGCTGACATAAATGTGAGAAAATTTTATCCAGTTTGTATGTTAATGGAAATTCTTGCTTTGCTTTATCATCACCATTACAAATGATATATTCGACCCGAACGAAGTCGCGGGTACACGCTAGTATTAATTATGAGGGATCAGATGATTTGAGTGCCGATCAACTTTTAATGAAAGAGTCGTTCCCCAATCCGATAATTCATCCAGAGTAAAGGCTCAATGAATAGTGTAAACAGCCCTGCCTTTGTTTTTTAATTGACTTCTTAATTACCAGTACTAGTAGGTAGCTTTAAATTTTAGTTTGTTTCAATCTTATTATAAATATTAAACTATTCGTTATTATTCGTCATAACAATTTTAGAAATTCCTCTTGAACGAAACATCCTACCAGCTGGTACAACTACGATATTAACTTACTGACCTTCAATTTCTCTGCCCGTAAAGTTGTCTTTACACCTTTTCAAAGGCACAAAATGAAGAATAGTGGCAGTTCACATACTGTGCAACAGAGAACTGGATGAAAATATATAGACAAAAATAATTACACTGGATGATTTCACTCTGGATGTACATAAAAAAAGATACAGTGTATATATAGCTTTACCTTCATTGGTAAAGTGGTGTAAAATGACGGCTGTTTGGTAGAAAGTTTCAAAATCTTTCGCATAATACAGAACTTTGAAGACAGCGATTGCTTGCTCTAAGTGTTCTTCCTCTCCAATGGAGAAGATGTGTCCTTTTGGTAATAAGTAATCGTAATGGCTGAATTTGACCAGTGTGTCAACGACTTCAGGTTTCTGAAATATACAATACACCATAATCAGGATACTTGATTTTTGTTAATAACATAACAAAACTAGTTTAGATCAATTCAGTCAAGATTAGACTTAAAGGTTTTACTTTTATATACTTACAGTAAATAAGGGTTTGTGAGTTTGTAGCCATTGCACTAGATCAGTAACTCCTTTGCAAATTTCCACATGTTCTTCTACAAGACCAGGTTGTACTACATGTTTGAATAAGGTCAAAACCTTGTGCTGTTTTTCGAGAAAAACATTGTCCACTGAAACAAAATATTATAGATTACATATTTTATAACGCAGTGTACGACCAGGGACTTGTATGTAAAGGTGCGTTCATACCGGCTGCGCCGCGCCGCGCAAAGCGTTTTGTAGCATGTACTTTTGAAGTGTATTTTTAGCGCAATAAAAAAGTATATGTTAAAAATGATATGCACGGCGGGCGTGGAGCGGCACAGCCGGTGCGGAACGCACATTAACAAAAAACGTTAAATGCACCAAGTGTAGATATAAAGTAAAAGTAAATATTTCAGTTAACGTCTCTTTTGCTGCCAGGGCTATTCTGGACGGGGCCTACTTTGTTTACGCAGAATCCGAACCGCGGTCCTCGGCCATATCATGGTCAATGGCCTACCGACTTGGTAAGTGTCTCAATCGACTCTTGCTCACGAGATATCCGATCTCATCCGGCCTCAAACCGGCGTGAATGAGCAGTGTGTGTCAATAGATTTTACACTTTTGCCTTTTTTTGGACAACAGCACGATACAGAGTTTCGAACCGGTCACCCGTCCATCCACTAGTATCGCCTTACGTCGCTTAACTTCGGTGTTCTAATGGGAATCGGTGTTTCGACGTAGCTAGGTCGTTGCCCTTGTAGATATAAATTCTACACTTTTAATGATTCTGTACCTTAAAACAAATTGTAATTAACAGTGTGGGTGCCCTGTAATTACAATAAAATCTTTCCTTAAGAGAAATCCAGCGCTTTTAGAGTTACGTTACAAAATTTTAAACAAAATTCTAAACAATTATCTACCTATTATGAACCATGAGTTAATTTACTTTTTGTAAGTGATCACAAAGATGCTCCTGAATATCGTTTTTGGAAAACAAGTGCTTTCTTTTTAAGTGACAGTAAGTTTAATGAATTTTTCGGTTAAAACCAGCAGTGGTTCCTCAAAATATTGGAACTGTTCTTGCTAAGTCTCCAACTATATAGTCTGATACTGCCACAGGCCACATAAGATAGCTTAAGATTGGTTGAGCAATGGGTGTTCATATCAGGATGTTTAAAAAAGTACCATGAATTTATAAAAGCTGTTGTTGAAGTAAAATTTAATGAAACAGTGTTATGACTACAAAATACTTTCATATGTTATATGATTAAACAAGAATTGTAGCTACAGGCGAATTTCTTACAATTACTACACTTGTTACAATTGTAAATTTTGTGTGATGCGTTCTCGATAACACAATAGAGGAGAGGAGAGTTTACAATACACTGTAGTGTGCTGATCTACTTAAAAAAATCGAAAAAAATAATATTACTAGCATTTACCACCCTTTACTATCTAATGCAATCTATGATCTAAATTTACATTACTATCTATTCTATCTATGATGTTCTTTTAAATTTTTAGGGACAAAAATTAATCGATAGCTTATTTATTAAAAAAAAATAACCATACAGTAGCTATTTTCATAAAAGTTTTACTGCAAAATGTAATAGAAAAATAAAATTTATTAGAAGCTTTCAAAGAACTGTTTTAAAAAATGTTAAATTTGATAAATAATTTAATTTTTTTCATAAAAAAAATAAAAACACTGTTTATATGATTCATTGTATATTTTGGGTTGTTATAGCCCTAAAAATACGATTTATCAATGTAAAAGGTATTGAATAAGTGCAAATATCTTCAAGACTGGTAGAACTCGATAAAAGAAACATATTTTCCCTTTACCGTTTGTCAAATAAGTCCAAAATATCCGAGTTATTTTACTTTGAAAATGTAAAAGAATGATTATTTGCTCATATTTTGAGAACCACTGGATTTTTCTGGGTTTCCTTTTTTCTATATTTAATATACTTCCTTTTGTTGTCATGAAATCGAGATATATTATGTTTTTAATTAAAAATTTTAAAAAACCCAAATTTTTTTTCGAAAAATACCGAATTTGCAAAAAAGTTTCGAGAAAAAAACATCATAGACGTGATTCTGAGGTCGAAAAATACCACCCTGAAAATATTTACCCTTATTTAAGACTCTAACTGTATATAAAAAGCAAAAGAATAAATCACAGACTTACCGGTTTTATAATGGACAGTTTCGTGGACAGGAGTTCCAAAAACTGCCACACTCAGCAGCACCAACCCCAAGCAAACCCTCATCTTGACTTTTTAACCTAGAGTAAATGTTTGCAATACACCAATTTTTCTTTTATATAAAACCCAATCAGGTTGTATCACTTTACAGATAAGTAAGGTTAATTTTTGTCTTGTTTTGCTACCAGAGTATTATTTTTTAACAAACAAATAATACGCGCCTATCTGTAAGGCTTTGTTCTTATCGGTTAATTAATGAATGGAAAACGAATTAAATATTCATATGCAATCAGTATTTTTTTCGATAGGTGGTCATTGAATTCTTAAGTTTATTTAAGACGAAATATTGTGTAGTGCTGCACGTGATATGGCATGGGTTATAAGTCTTATAAATCAAATTTTTCAGATATTATATTTTAAACGAAAATAAGCCATTTCTAGTTTGTGAAAATACTTAGAACACAAGGTGTCCCAATAATCAGTGGATATTTTATTTTGTGTATTTTTCTTCAGTGGCAAAAAGCCTGGAAATCTTTTCAATGAAACTAGATTGTAGATTGCTTGGGTGGGGGGAAGTTAATCACCGCGATCTTATAGATCTATTGTGTCCCTCTTTCTCAAGTTATAACTCATCATACAGCCGCAGGGTTTTAACAAAAGCCAGTATCTGAGACGGTTTTACGGAGATTAGTTTCCATCTCCGATATCGGTCATACCAAAGTTTATGGCATGAATAGTTCGGGGCACTTATGATTTTATTGGGAACAAAATAATATAAAGCTGGGACTAGTCTTAGTCGATAGCTTTTATATTCCGATTGAACATACTAAAAGTCCCCATATCTCCCACTAAGGGAACACTGTCAAAATGACGCCGCCATCTTGGATTTTTGGCATTTTTTTCTTAATCTGGTCTTTACTCAAAAACTACTTATTTTTAGAAAAATTATGAAGAGGGTAATTCAAGAAATTCATTAAAATCTAACAAAGAGCACAATATTGTCAAGAGTTTGCGTAACAAAGATTGTTTCTATCTAAAAGCTGATAAGGGAAATAAGGTTGTTATATTAGATAAAAAAGACTATTACGATAAGGTTAACAACTTAATCGATAATGGCCCCTACATAAATTTGAAAAAGAATCCTTTCTCTAAGATGGTAGCAGACGTTAAAAAAACTCTAAAAGAATGTAACACCCTTATTGATCTTTCTTTAAAGAGGAAATTGCAAGTATCCAATCTGTCATTACCAAAATTGTATGCTTTGCCAAAAATTCATAAACCGGACAAGTCTAAGCGCCCAATTGTTTCGGCTGTAGGTTCTCCGACTTATAATTTGGCAAAATGGTTATCAAGTGAGTTTGAAAATTTACCTGATCATGAACCTTCTTTCTCAGTTAGAAATAATATTGAATTCATTAACAAAATTAAAGATATAACATTGCATGAAGGTGAAATTTTGGTCTCCTTTGATGTATCTTCGTTGTTCCCAAGTGCTCCAATTCCACATACTTTAGGCTATTTGAAGGAATTACTGAACGCAAATGGTCTCGACAACAAAACTGTGATTGAATATATTGAGCTTACATCGTTATGTATGAAACAAAACTGTTTTCAATTTAATAACAACTTTTTTGAACAGCGGGAAGGTACAGCAATGGGTAATCCATTGTCTCCATTTTTGGCTAATTTATTCATGAGCAGGTTTGAAGTGGAAGCTAAGAATCAGTTTAAGTATTTTCCAAGAGTATGGGTTAGGTATGTGGATGATATTTTTGTTGTTTTTGACACACATTGAGACACCATAGATAATTTTATTTCTAAGTTAAATAATCGTTTTCCTTCCATTAAATTTACGCATGAAATTGAGAACAACGACAGATTACCATTTCTAGATGTATTAGTTATTAGAAATACTAATAATTGCGTGGAATTTGATATCTATAGGAAAAATACCACACGCTGATATATTCCTAATGAATCACATCATAGTGTTGAACATAAAATGGCTAGTTTAAATTTCTTAGTTCATAGATTACTTAGTTTCCCACTTTCCAACGAAAGAAATGAAATAGAAAGAGATTACATTAGGAATGTAGCTGAGTGTAATGGATATTCTCCTTCACTAGTTGATAAATTAATTAGAAAACGTAGGTATAGCTTAATGATTTCCTGAAAATTCGACTTTTCAAGTGGAGGAAGATACGTCTAAATATTTTTCGATACCGTTTGATAGAGAGTTATCCTGTGGTCTAAAAGTAATTTTTAAGAATGTCAATTATAAACTTGTGTATAGTGCTAATAATAAATTACAACAATTATTAGGCAATACAAAGGATAAAACACCTCCACTGGAAAGGTCGGGTATTTATGAATTTCTTGTAAAGATTCTCTAATCAGGAAATATTTTTGGGCAAACTAGGAAGATCAATATTAACTAGATTTAAAGAACATTTAGCTCAGATAAGATATGGTAGATCCCCGATAAATCTTGCGTTGCCGGAACATATTGTTGATAATGAACATTGTATAGATCTTAATAATTTAAAATTAATTAAACAAGTCTCAAACTACAGGCAATTAGATGCTATATGAAAGCATCAGAATTAATAAATGTAAAGATAGTATGAATAGAGTCAACGGTCCAATTCCTTCAAGTTCTTTGTTCCTTACTCTACTCTTAGTGGTAGGAATCTAACCAGCTACATCAGTTGAAGCTACCTGGACTCGGTTGGTTGGCTAGATTTTGCCACGCCCACTTGGTGCCCACTGAGCGAGTATATAAACGCTCAACTTGTAGACAAAATTTTTAGTTTTAGCAAATCATCCGCTTTATGATGCTAACATGGTTAGCGAAACGCGCGTCCAGTGTGTAAAAGTAAAAGTGTTTTGGTGTATTGTGATGATTTAGTGTTTTTATTTTGCCTTATCAAGATATATGTCTTGAAGTACCACTGACATACCGATTTACTGATTAGTCAAAAATCTATGCGCCGTCCGATAGTACTTGCAGTACTATCTAGCACTGACCAAGTACTACCCAACAACTGGATAGTACACAATATCCTTATGATCTAATGTATATTATTACTCCGGAGAGTAAATAGTTATTCACAAATTATGATTGGTCAAAAATATCTAAACCGCCTAACAATATTTGCAGTGCTACTTAGTACTGCCAAAAATGTGGTGTATAACTACTGCCTACAGTTGTTGATCTCTCGATTTTGCATGAAAACTAATAACAAATTCGAAGCTAATTAGTTTTTGATCATACTAATTTTTGATCATACACTCGTATATAGGAACAGCGAATCTATCCCGATTTTGAAATAGTCGAGGAAAGAAAAGGTCAAAAGACTGGGTACTTCTGAAGAACACCATTTAACACCTTTTATTGGTTCGCTATACATACAAAAAATATAACTAAAAACTAAGGTATCTACATTTCTTCCTCAGGCTCGATATCATTCATCGGATTTAATTCGGGGATTTCTTTTGGTAAAATCCGAGAGAGTTTCCTTGGCAAAATTCGCATAAATTTGAGCAAAAAATGCTAGATTTTTTACAGCTGCTTTGCTTTGTGCATGAGGTTATGCAGTTACAAAAAATCATCTTTAAAATAAATTCGGGAGCTACTTCTTGCTCCATTAAAATGGGATAAAGTTCATTATTTGCATCCTTCCATCCCCACTCTAATGGATCAGGAGAGTAGCCTAACCATTCTTGTATTTGGTTATAAATTCTAAAGATATGGAATTTTGCGGCATCTGTGGTGGGAGGAAGAGCAGCCAAATTGAAGTTTGTGCTAAGATTTTGTCTAGCGGTTATAGCATTGTATTTTTTAAATCTTAATTCATCTAGTGAAAGTATTGAAGTTTCTCCGTAAAGAGATACTAAAAAGCGCTCGCCAGCTTTCAAGACATCCTCCTTAGCAGCATTTGCATGGTAAAATATAGAAACTGTATTTCTTAGCTCTGGATTCTTCTCTAGAAGTTGAAGAACTGTAATTTTTTCGATATTGTATAAACCACTAACTGTGTCGCAACCACCTGCAGCGTGAATAAAGAGAATGGATTTTTTAAGAGCCGGCGTCTTTTAGATGGTACCTATGTATAGTCCATTTCAGGAAGATTTTCCGAAAATGGAATATTTTGCATGCTTCATTAGAAACACGGTGGGCTAATAAATAAAAATTTGCACGACACAATATAACTAGTCAAAAGTACACCGCTCGACGACACTACTGTCTGACGCTGTACTGCTTTATACTACCCAAGCACTACATAGTACACAAATTCCGGCCCTAGTCTGCCTAAGTACCATCAAAGTCCTGCACAAGTATTGCCTAAGTAGAAACTTCCCAGCTATCCACTGTCTAATCGACTGCTCAGAAATAATATGTAAACCACTTGCAGTACTGCCCAAAGTGCTGGCCAAAAATTTTTACAGCTATTGTCCAAAATTTTTCATCCATCGATCTTGTCACTAGCATTTTTATAAACGGCAAAATATTTACTTATTTCAGGTTAAAAAAAAATGTTGGTGCTCACTACCTAGAAACCTCGAAGGTACCTCTAATTATAGAAATTTTATCGGTCTTTCATTTCTCTTCCAACATATTTTCTTTAAAAATTAAAAGTTTTTGAATAAATGGCAAATTTAGGAAAAAATTCCAAAAATCCAAGATGACGGCGCAATTTTGACAATGTTCCCCTTATGGGAGGCATGGGGACTTTTAGTATGTTCAACAGGACCCTTAAAACTACCAATTAAGACTAATCGCAGCTTTATGTTATTTTGTTCCCAATTCGCCCTATAGGAAATTTCTAAGTGCCCCGCATTAGAATGGTTGTCGTCTCGGCGCACTCAGTGATGAGGTGTACTGCTGTTTCCCCATCTTCCCCACAGAATCTGCATTCGCCGTTTCTTCTTAGTTTCAATCTACTGAGGTGTTCATTGAGGAGACAGTGTCCTGTTAAAAACCCCGTGACAATCCGAAGATTGTTCTTGCATAAATCTAGGAAAATTTCATAAGCGTATCATTGATTAACTCGGTTAAAATTTAATATTTTTTGTTGATTCGAAGTTCATTTAAAAGGTAGAGTCAACAGCTATCACATTTTGAAACTTGTTTGAATTTTGTCATATTTTCTGAAAATAAAAAAACGGGCAAACATTCCTAAGCACACAAAAATTCAGATTTTTACATATTAATATTTTTTTGTGCGGGTGCCAGATATCACAAGCATTGTCATACACAATTTTCAAGTCATGTTCCACAGCCCCTAGACCACCAAGAGGCGTAGGACATCCCTTGGATGCTGATATTTCAAACCAAATGGACAAGAACAATATACTCTGAAAAAGTTACAAGATATTGCAAGTAATTTTGAACTTTTATCATTGATTTCCAAATCCTCATTGATGTTGGTTATTTATAAAGTTATTATGCAATTTTCTTTTGTTTACGACACTTTCCGGAAATTACAAAATACGAAAAAATAAAAAAACAAAATTTAGACAATAGGTTAACGGAAACGTTATTGGCCTAAATCATACAGTAAATTGGCCAGTAAGGCCTCCTGATATTTCGCCAAACGATTTCTTTCTCTGGAGCCATTTAAAAAACAGGATATACAAGGATAAAAAATACCCAAATCTAGACGAGTTAAAAAATGCTATTTCTGCCGAATGCAATAGAATTTCATTTTACCAACTAGCGAATGTAAGAAGAGAATTTTATGATCGCCTGGGTTATTGTCTAGCAGTCGACGGAGGAATATTTGAACATCTTCTTAAATCCTAAAGTTCTAACAATTTAATAGTACCTAAATTAATAAGTTATTGAATATTGTAATAATACCATAATTAACCTTGTAATTGATTACTTTATTTTACTTTAATTCATATTAATTTGTATTTATAAATACATCTTTAAGATTTCCGATGTAGGAATGAGTTTTCAATAACAATAAAGCACTAAATAGGTAAATTTCTGAAACGACAACTTCATTTGACAGTTATCTTTTACCTTGACTGGTGCTCATAAGTAAATACAGGGCCATAAGAAAGGAGAAATATTTAAAAAGAAATCGGCGATAACTCGTAAACGCGCTAATCAAAAATATCTAAAGTTATTCTTTTGAATGTGGGTTTTAGTGCTCTTCAATAAACCTAAATAGAATTATTCTCTAAAATAATTAGGGAAGCCAATAATTGACCCCATTAAAATTTACATGGGATTTCCTATGTCCCGTCCGACGATGCAACACCCGGTATATCTCCGGAGCGTTGACTTGGAGAAAAATTCAGGATCTTCGAGACGGAATATCTTGAAAACTACTAATATTGCGAAAAAAATCATAAGGAGCATTTTTATAGGTAATTAACCTAAGCTTAATTTCTTCTTCCAAGAGATTTTTGTAAATTGTATATTTTGGCAGATATTTGCGAAAACTGATTTTTCGGCCATTTGGGGCCATTTTCGGCCAAAGTTCGCCGCCATAGTCCGGCCGTCACGGTGTTACAATTTTTCCCTTAAATCTACTCCCCAAAAGGTACAAAACCTTAATTTACTGGGCTATTGCGATAAATTTACTTCGTCATTTCCGGTGAAAAATTTTGCTCAGTTTGCCTACAAAATTTACACTGAACTCGCTTAATATCAAACACAAACAATCGAAATCTTAGATTTATTCAGGAATCTTTTTCCCTGTTCTATATTTAATTCCGGGTAACCTTATCCTAACCTTATTTATACTCGCGCACCCCTCCAAACTTTTCTTTTTGTTTTACTGCGATTCGCGCGATCCCAGGGCTTTTCTTCCCACTCGTCGCCGTTGACCTTTTTGCTTCAACAATACCCCGAAGGAATGTCGCCCTTCCTTAAGTCATCCCCCAGCAATATTTTTTAAATGTTTTTAAGTCTTTACGTACGCTGGAAGAAAAATAAAAAAAAATAAACACTTCATTAAACCATTAACTAAGATTTTTTTAAAAAAGTTTAGGATTACCATACGATCAGAAGGGTCAAATTTGGCTCGGAAATGAAGACTTACATAGAAAATGTCCAAACAAATTTGTCGCCGCTGGACCAGTTACTTATAGGGGAACATAATGGCAACACTGCCTATTGAGAACGCATGGACTTATAGGGTTTTCTGCCGACTCGTCCCGTCGCGTCGCGTCGGCACTGTCGGCAGTAGCATCGACGAGCTGGCCGAGGTTGCCACATTTCAACCATAAAGCTCTTGCCGCGAGTAATAAACAAATTAACAACCTGTATACACTATCATTTATAATCGAGTATAAAGTATCGACCTTGTCTTTTTTTATTGTGTCTATTTCGCCAATAACAATTGATTTGCTTAATTATTCAAAAACTTTGAAGCTAAAACAGTCATTGTGTATAATTATTATTTTTATTATTAATAGTTTACTATTTATAACTTCCTATTAATAAACAAATTGCTATAAATTAAAAACTCACTATTGATTATTGATATAATAATAAAGAATGTGACATTCTTTGTTAATCATTTCTTTAATTTTAAATTATATTGAAATATACCAATTTTTATTTTGATAAATTTGTTGCATGAGAAATTCATGTAAGAAATATATGAACTTTCACATATAACTGATAAGTAAATCAGTATTATTTTGGTGCTATCGTCTTTTCTTTTACTTATATATTTTTTTCTTTATTATTATTTATTTTAATAACCAAATAAATCAATATGAATTTATAAACTAGTCAATAAAAGTTATCAAATATTTTTCAAAAGTATATACAATATATTAAATAAAATAAACAATTATAATTACGATATATGTTGTTGCATTTTAACGATAACTGACCTAAGTTTAGGATTTTCTTTGTAAACCTTTCCTATGTACGTAAATATTTAATTTAAATCTAAATATTCGTTTAATATCTATTATTCGCATTATAATTCTGCATCTAAAAGAAAATGAATATGCAGGGTACATTTAAAAAAATAAAATAAAGTATTTTAAATATTGCAATGTTGCTCACGCCGTTACAGATACCCTGTGTAAGATAATGTGAGTTTTCCTTCACATATTTCTTCATTCATTCCTTGTTTTCTTATCCTTGGTGTTTAGGAACGTGTAGCTAAGTTTTAATAAATATAAATTTAGTCCAGGTTTTAATCATTTTTCGGATATACTGTTTTTAACAAAAGTTTTAATAAATAAGAAATGGCATGACAACACCGCATAGTGTTTAAAATAAATACTGTATATATGCAGGATTTTATGCTGAATTTATTCTGTACAGAAAATGGGGGTTGCAATTTAATAAAACTTTTGCAAATTCCGGGTTATGTATGTATGTTATATGGTAAATAAGAAACTTTATAAAATGCAAAATATTTGTATTTGAAAAACACTAAAAGATACAATCAGATTAAATAAATTAAAAAAAAAAAAAAAAAAAAAAAAAAAAAAAAAAAAAAAACTATTTATTATATATAATAATATAATATAAAACAACAGTCTCGAAAATATCGTATCTCTGAACATCTTAATGCTCAGGAGTGACGGAATTTACGTCCTTCTTGTGATAGATCCTCGTTTCGTAGAAGAAACTGTTAGGAATATCCTCGAAGAACGTCTTTCCATACTTTATCTCGCGATCGAATGGATAATAGAGTGGATAATCGTCGATGTATGGCCCTCCAACTCCTGGTCTTGGGTAGTGGTAAGTCCATTCCTCGGGCTTGTTACCGGTGTATGGTTTATATGGGTAGACGATGAAGTAGAACTGGAATGGATACCCGCCAGTGCTACCTTTAGGTAACATGTATCTGGAAAAAGAATTTATAATATTAATAGATATTGTAAAATTTTAAAATAATATTGAAAATTGGTTAAGTATATGGAAACAGTTTTGTTATATTTTGTCTTCTACTGAGTTTGATTTTGACGATTTTTTGTTAGTTTGTAGTTAAATTATGCCTTTTGTATCTCTTCCTAAATTAAATGAAAGTCATTCTTTCGGTTCTCATCGATAATGAGAGAAAATTAAATGTTGATATTTTGTTAAAAGTTCGAAACACCCTGTAGAATATATTAACAAAGCAAGGAATTTAAAATTATTTTTATCATCTAGGTGTATTTTTTTCTCGATAGCTTGTTTTTATCCATCCCAATAGTTTATTCTGGACGGGCCTACTTTGTTTACGCAGAATCCGAACCGCGGTCCACAGCCATATCATGGTCAAAGACTTAGGAAGTGTCTAAATTAAATCTTACTCACGAGATATCCGATTACATCCGGCCTCGAACCGGCGTAAATGAGCAGTGTGTGTCACTAGATTTTCCTACACTTTTGCCTTTTGGACAACAGCACGATACAGAGTTTCAAACTGGTTACCCGTCCATCCAATTAGGTAATGCCTTTACGTCGCTTAACTTCGTTGTTCCAATGGAACCGGTGTTTCCACGCAGCTGGTTGTCATTTCTTTGGATCTTGTAAAATATTCCTGTTAGATTCAACAGGATAATAATATGATTTTTTCAAGACGGATATTAGATATATCATAAAACACTATTTTTATTTTTTTTTTTTATTATAAATTTTGTGAATGCTTCTTTTTAAAAATACGAAAAATATTATTAGTGCCTTTCAAAAGCGAATATCTCTAAAAAATGAAATCTATTGAGGATACAAACCAAAACAAACTATCGAGAAAAGATACACCTAGATGATAAAAAAAAAAAAAAAAAAAATTTGTTTTTTTAATAATATACTCCACAGGATGTTTCAAACTTTCTGCTAATATCAATATTATTTTCTTTCCATCGCATAATTGTCAGATGGCAACTTGAGTTTAATTTAGAAAGATATTAAAGTCAAATAATTTAGCTACAAAGCTCTTTAAAAATCATCAAAATCGGTCCACCAAAACACAATATAAAAACTTTATCATTACGAAAAAATTTTAAGGTGAAGCGAAACCTCAAAATTTTGTGCCAGTGTGATTTATAATAATAGATTGTTTTGATATAAAATTATCCAAAAATATGCCTTTATATAGTGAGATATTTTTACCAATCTGGATAGTGTCGAATAAGAAAAAAATAACAAACCAAAATTGATTCTGAGTATTATTTTCTTAAAATTATTAAACCATACCTGTATGGGAAATTGAAGTAATTTTGTCTGTATCCCATTGCTAATCTAATTTGTCCCTTCAGAAGTGCTGATAACTTGTTTCAGGGTAGGTCGTAGAAATCCTGTCCTTCTGTAGCGAACAGTCTGCTTTCGTAAGAACTCCTCTTGATAACATTTTCACCGCTCTTCAGATCATACACGAATTTGTCCAATTCAAAGAAGTTCCATCTGAAAAAGACAAAAAACCCTTTAATTTTTTTTTTTTTTTTAAATTTTATTGATTATTTCTAAATTCTATATGCAGTTAATCATATTTGCACAGGATGATAAAGCTAAAAGAAAATTCCATTAACATAACAAAACAAAATAAATTATGTGTCCAAGCGTTTTCCGGAAATCAACTGTTTTTAAATAACAAATATTGTAATATTTTGAGGGGCGTTTTCATCCCCTTGGAATTTGAGATTTGAGAAACCCCTTATCGAACCTCTAAACACCACAGTCAATCCGTTTTCAAAAATCAGCTTTAAACGTCAACAGTTTAAAATAGAATCGTGATTACTCATTAGTCATATTTTATGAAATTATCTGTATAATTCTTTTAAAACCTTTAAAAATATACAAAACAACAAAATAAAATATACGTGTTTAAGAGTTTTTCCGAAACTCACTGGTTTCTAAATGAAAAATATTCATCATTATTTGAGGTGTTTCAATTTCCTTAGGAATTCGGAGTTTCGAGAAAAACTCTTTCCATCGAACCTCTACACCCTAAAGTCGAACTGTTTTCCAAAATCAGCTTTACGTCAAATGTTGCCGTAAGTAAGATCGTAGATTGACAATGACCAGATTTTCTAAAACACCCTGTGTATTTAAAAATCTCTAAAATATGTAAAAACAAAATAAAATATAATGTGTTTGCTGTTTTTTCAAACTTGACTGTTTTTAAATAAACAATATTGTATTGTTTGAAGGGTGGTTTCACCTCTGAACTGAATTTCAGGAGCATCCTTCTCATCGAACTTCTACACCCTAAACCCAACCTGTATGCCAAAATTGATTTCACGTTGAGTGGTTTGAATAGGATCGTGATTAATCAGTGAGTCAGGTCACTTAAGGATTTTATACAGGTTGTTAATTTGTTCATTACACTCGCGGTAGAGCTTTGGTAGTTGAAATATGTATAAACATCGGCTCCACTGTTAATAGACGACGCAGACGATCACCGAGTCCGCAAGGAAAATCACCAACGCACGGCAAGTGTCATTATTAGGCAGGTTGCTACTATGTTCTATAATTGTCGAGTTGAATAACCCGTGATGGTTAGTATAGCAGATTGTTATTGTTAGGTTTTAACTGACTCTCTTTATTTAAGCGCTTCTGATAATAAACATAATTCGTTTATGTGTTCGTTAGTTAATGAATTCATTTTTTAAGCATTCTTTAAGTTTATGGTTCTCAGTATCGAATATAAACGGGCCAATATTTCAAGAATTATTCAAAGTGAAATATAATAAAGCGCATTAAATAATAAAGTTACAAAACGTATATGAAGTTATGTAAATATTTTGTCATGAGAAATTATTCTTCGAGAGGGTATCGTTTATGTAAGAATCATAAATCAATGGAAGGCAGAAGAGAGTAAGAAAAAGGGCGGATAACCATATATAACTCAAAGGCTTCCCTGTCTGACCTAGATACAAAGCTATTTTAATTTATTTGAATTTGATAAATAAAACTCCCTTGATCTTGTTCTTGCTACTGGTTGTTTCGTAATATTAAACAAAGATTTTCATTATTTATTGGGTTTTCTTTTTGCGTTATGTTAATAACCGGTTTTGACATGTTTTTTAATAAAAATTTAGTTATTATTAGGTTTTTATCGTTTTTTAAGTGCTTCTTCTTGATCGGCTATCACCTACTGATAGAACTTACGACCGAGAAAGTAAAAAATATTCTTGGTAAGAACAACGTTCGGATTGTCACGGGAATTCTAACAGGACACTGTCACACTGTCTCCTCAACGAACAATTCCTGTGTAGATTAAAGTTTCAAGAAACCACAACTACTACAGATTCTGTAGGGGAAAATGGGGAAACACCAGAACACCTCTTATCACTGAGTGCGCAAAGACAACAACCATTCGTACAATAAACTTTAGTACCACTGATAATGGAGTTGGAGAACTAATCCCTCAGGTAAAACAGTTCAGCTACTCTGAGTTTTGTCAAAGCTCCTGAGACCAAGGACAGAGTTATAAAAAGGGGGGACACAATAGATCTGTACAGTCTACATTCTGCATCACCTAGTGACTAGTTGGAAAGACTTTACACACATTTCCATGCAAATGATCGTTAAGTCGACAGGCTGGTTGTAAATAGGCTGTGATTCACAAAAACTTTCCATAATTTATAGTAAGCTTAATTTTTACAATAGATTCAAAAATAGACAATTTTTTTTTTTTTATATTACTTTAAGCTTAATATACTTTTGTGATGCACCCGGTATATAATAGAAATAATATCTTATAAAACTGGAAATATTTTCAAAAAAAAAAAAAAAAAAAAAAATTAAAAAGGAAATAATTTAATCATTAAAATCTAAATTAGTTAGGTACCTAATTATTTTAATTAATTAAATTTTAATTAGTTAGTTTAGAGAAGTCTTGAGAAAACTAAAACCATTTTATTGGAAAACTAAAAGCAGTTTTTTATTGCCTTTCATTAATGATGAGAATATAATCATTAAAAAACGAATTACTTTATTAATTATTAAAGAGGATTAAAAATCAATCATTTTGAAAAGAAAGAAAAATTTGAGATAAGCATTAGAAAAAAATGTTTTTTTTTTTATTTATTTGCATTGATTGAAGGCCAATAATTATAATAATATAACAAGATAAATAATACTCTGATAAAAAAATATATTTTCTACCTATTTTTCAAAATAAGTCCAAAATAACTGAGTGATTTTATATTTTCGAAAAAAAAATTTCCAAAAAAATGTTTTTACAAAATTTGGAGAACCACTGATCTCTTTTCTAGGTTTCTTTCTTGTAAATTCTAAACTACTAATTATGTTGCCATATCAATGAATTATGTTGTTTAATTAAAAATTAAAATTATTTTCAAAAAAATTTTCCCAAAAATTGCGAAAAAAATTCATAATCGTGTTTCTGGGTCGGAATCATAAACGTACCATACACACAAACAGCTAAAGAAACACATTTTTACATTAATAAATTGATGAAATATCTTCTTGCAATACAAAATGGCATTTCTTGTGCCACAAAATTTCTTTTAGTGGCAATCAAAAGAGCTGCCAATATATTTTTTTAAAGAGTTTATAAATACAGCAAGAAATATACCGTACGAAATTGTGTAATATTAAATTATTTTTAAATAAGTTAAAAGTAAATAAAGACCAAGAAATAATAATTTTAAAAAAAAAAAAAAAAAAAAAAAAAAAAAAAAAAAAAAAAAAAAAAAAAAAATTATATTTTACCGATATTTATCGAAAGAAGCATTTAAGCCCATTGAAAAAAACATACCTGTTTTCACTGATGTTGATGTACCTTCCATATTCATCATACTTAGGACCAATAAAGACTCCTGATAAAATAGCCAGCATCAAAACGTAGATTGGACGTGATTTTGTAAGAAAAGCGTATTGTGATTGAGGACGGTACTGTTTGGCATAAACGAAGAAGTGGTTCTTCTCGTTCTTCAATTCTTCCTCACTGTAATAGACGGCTTGGCTGAGATCGGAATAGAACTCATCGAAGTACGTGATGAGACGGTCTATTTCAACTTTTTCAATTTGGACTCCGTTCCAGATGAGATCTTTAGTGGTGTATGGAGGTGTGCGTTGATTTATATCTATGTTAAAAATGGTCGAGTTGAGTAAAATAGTACATTAGCTAGAAGAGTAATATCCTCCGGTGTCGGCATGCAGCTCCTAGAATAAACATTTTGAAATTTTGTTAAGGCAACTAAAGTGCATGTTCCAGTGGATGTATTTCAGGAAAATATTTTTTTTTTAAATTTAAATATTTCTGTCAAAATGATATAGGATTGATTTTTTTTAATAAACACCCTGTATTATTGCTTTTTAACTTCATCTCATTCACTACACAATCCCAAGATATGAGTAAAATATATCAATTGCTTCCAGAGGATATTAATAAATAAAATATATATTTTTTTTCAAAGTTTTTTTTTTTTAAAAAAAATATTCTTGGGATCAAAACCATAATAGGTATTTACTTTTAAAATGGTCTCATTTCATTCTTGTTATAAATGCAGGAATCGCAACTCAGCTGGTATAGGATGTTCAAAATTTATACGCCAAACTTCTCCAAAATACAACACTATCTGCTTTTTTAATTGAACTTTGTATGATGATTTAGTAGATGGAGAATTAATACATTTTTAGATGATTTTGTATTTGAATTTGTTTCGGTGATATCTTCAGGAAGTTATACAATTTTTCATACCGCATTTTCCATAGTAAATTTTACCAAAAATAAATCTTCAAATTCGGATTCTTTTTCTCTCCTTTGGTTTCTCTTGTATTTTACCCTTGAAAGAGCCATATGAAATATTACTGCGTGTATCTGGGAAACCATTAAAAATTTTGAAATAATTTTAAACACAAAAAATATTTTTTTTCTTCTGTTAATTTTCACTAATAAAAAAATAACATGCCAAAAAAACGAAAGAAAAAATTATTTTATATTTTAGAAAGTTTGCGTAGAATTTTGAACAACTCCAAAGGATTTGAGATCATTGTGATATTTATAGTTAAAGGTAAGTATAGGTCATCTAAAATAAATAACCTGCAACAGTTTTCATTTCAGGACAGTTATACATTAGAAAATAATTTCAAAAAAAAAAAAAAAAAAAAAAATCTTTATTTATTTATAACATTCCTGAAAATAGACGTCGAGTTTATATTTATCAGGCATTCACACTTCACTCTTTGTTACACCCTGGCGTAGAAAGCAAATATTTTCTCTCCTGAAATATATCCTTAAATACTTTGTGGTTACACTTCCAAGCCTTTTTATTTTAGAAGTTGCGTCATACAGAAAATGGGCCCTGTATTACCTGTGATAGTAGTTGATTAAAATTTTGTAGAGTTGGTAAAACACTGGGTCTCTTAAACAAGTTTCGATATGTTCTAAAGCAGATGGAGCTACCTTGTCTTTGTAGAGTGGAGTGTAGGAATATCCCAAAGCATGACGACCATAACCTATCAAAAGAATGAATAACAATTAAAATCAACGAAGGGTAAAAGTTAAACATTACATTTACCCGTCTCAAGGTCCATAAAACTGTTCGCTCTAGCAGCCCTGGATTAGACGGAAGAAGATTCTGGCTGGTATTTGCAACTATTTCATACAGAGTTCTGGCCATCGTTCACCTCGAGCTTCGTAATATTAATAAAAATAATTAGAAATTCATTTAGTGTCTCTCTTTTCTAAGCAGTAAAGCTTCCACGTTCAGCTTAATATCCTTCTATCAATAAAGCATCTGGCTAAACCTCCTGTATAATCCCTAGAAATTCAAAACTGAGTAAATGAGATTCCTGGACATGCTGTCCATGAATCAGAAATAATCAGATAACTTGTAAACTTGGTCTTTCTGTGGAATTGTGTGTCGTTAGCAATTGTAAAGATGGATAGTATGGTGTTTCAATCGGGACATCCAAGTCCAAGAGAGGGATTTGTCCAAAATCGTTGGACAAAACGTCTGGTGATAATATCTGGAAAGAATCTGTTGGTAGAAGAAGAAAAACAACTCTCCACGCCTGTCGTTGTTGATGCCATATTTCTCACCATCCATCCACCAAGGATAGTACAAGTAATAAGTGTAATAGAAGTTGTTATATTCGACATCTTCCAAATAATATGAAAGAGATTGTTCTGGATGTAAGTTAATGTAATATCCAGAATAATTAGAAACGATAGTGTAACCTGGATACTTCCCTCCAGTGCTTTGGATAGGTTGGCCGTTCCAAGTTTGCTTGTACTTGTAAGCTTGCTGAATGGTCTCGGAGTTGAAGAAATAGTAAATAACCGGTAGTGAGTAGTATTACCACCGCGGTGCGTAAAATCGGTGGGTCTGACGATAGCCACGAACAAGAATGGCGAAACGTTCTGCGAGCGACGCCGGCAATATTGTCTCCAGAATGCGTTCAAACCTCTTTAGCAGCGGCGATTCATTACGCGTTACTAAGTTCCGGGCTGCTCGGATGTTTGTATAAAAACCTTTTGGGTAGTTTGCAGCCGTTCCAGAATCAAGACCTTTCAGCAACTCTGGAAGTTTCCTGGAAAATAGGGCAATTAATCAATTTATCAAAATCTAGATTCCACTGAGATGCAATATGAAACCGGTTATTATTTTTATACAATTTATCAAAATATGTTCAGGAAATGTATATATTCATAGAAAAGTATGTATTGCTCTGAACCGTCAACATAAATATTCATTCAGCCTGAAAACAGCCAATATACGGTAACGCGTGTTTAGTTCAGAATTTTACGGTTCCAAATCGTATGGTAGATTATTCGGTGACAAGCAACAAAAACCCACTGGCAACTGGGATCCTGCTTGAATGTTTTTAAGTAATTTGAATATGTTTCTTCAACCCCGGCTGGTTAATTCTTCTGAAAAGAAGGAGCGACTTTTCGTCATCCAGAGTCATCTGGCTGCGAATCTCCGGTGCTGATGAGAGATACCAGATTTTTCATTCCATCGTTATATTTAATTATATATTATTTTGTTATTGCCATTAGCACCGCCAAATTTAAACCGGTATGATCTCGTCGGGTTTATCTTAATATCATATCGCATAAAACCAGTTGTCTTTAGGTTAAGCTCATTTTGAAAGTATCTTCTAATTTTTTTCCAGAATTTGTTTTTTCTTGAAAGGTTTCTAACAGGAATCACATATCGTGATTTAATTCTTGAGCCTGTCGTGTTACCATATGCCAATGATTTTGGGAGAAACTTCATTCTCATGCATGACAATGCACGGCCTCATACAGCCAGAGTGGTAAGTGAGTTTATCAATGCTCATCAATTAAACATCTTACCCTGACCGGCACAATCCCCTGACCTCAAACCCATCTAGCACGTATGGGACGCGGTCCAAAGAAGAATTTTGAGAATTTTGATATGCCTCGTAAAACTCGTAGGGATCTGGTTCGGGCCGTGAATGCAGCGTGGCAGGCTGTACCTCAAGAAGAGATCGACAACCTGATCAGGAGCATGGAGAGATGATGTAGGGCTGTAATGAACAGTAGAGAAGGCCATACCCTTAATTAAGTAAATATGGTTTTATCATTTTTTTTTAATTCACAGTTTAGAATAAAAAAAAATGTGTGTATTTTTTTGGGTTCAATAAAAATCAAGGTAAATTTGAAAAATTCGGTAAATTTCACATTTTTATTTCCAATACGTCCTGTAAACTATTTGTTTATTTTAATTTTATTATACCAGAAATGCAAATGATAAAATTACTGACGATGGCTGGATAAAATTGTAATATCCCTAGACTTTTCCGGTGTGTGTAGATTGAAGTTTTGTGATTACAGTGATATATAATTTATATGGTTTAGTAACAAATTGCTGGCTATTTTACGACAAATGCTGAAGCTCTGCAAATCTTAATCAAGCCTTGATCAAAGCACCTGTGTTTGGAATTTTGGATGTGGATTAACACGACAGGATCGGGCTAAGCGTTAGGCAGATTTCTGAAAAATAATATATATTTCCTTCGGCCACGCACTCGCTTTACCTGAACCCTGAGAGCGACCCGAAAGTACAGCGTAATAGACTCTTAAAATAATCTGTGTGTGTTGAATTATTTTAATTAGTAGTTTTAAAAGATAGCTCATTAGACTTAAACCTGAAGTGTTCATTGTTTTTTGCGGTACTACTTCTTGGAATTTTTCCTTAGTTTGTGCACCCCCAAAATATTAAAGCACACACCACCACTGATTGCTGTAATGCCGACCAAAGCGCAAAATGCAACTCATGAAATCATTCGCTATTGTTTTCGATTTGCAGTAGGCCGGCTAGGGTTGTTTGGCTTAAACACACAAGCGCCTGTTAATTGTATGTAACGTAATGAAAGCTTATGCATTCGCTGGATATTTAAATGTGGGAAATAATTCTCGCCTAAGCCCTTTTTTACGCTTATTCAAATGTAAAGCAATGTTCATTAAATTTAATTTTATGAATTTTAGAAGAATATGAAAAGTTATTTTTTTTATTAAGAAATAATTATTTTGAGACTCATTTATACAGGGTGGTCCGAACTGTATTCTGGAAACTTCAGCAAGATATTCTGCAGATAAAAATAAGTAAAAAATTTCGTATACATATATGTCCTAAAATGCTTACTTTCGCAGATACAGGGTATAGAAGTTTGATTTTTATTTCGATTTCTTCCAAATAATTTATGAATTAACCTCAATATTTGTCTGACTAACTGGAATTTAAATTTCCCGCTGGGGATTCAGGTGGTAGCTCTGCTTTAAAATATGTCAAGTTGCCACATTTATTTATTTATTTCCTGACTTTGTAATTTCTTTTGACACTTTAGTTTTGTATTACGAGTTTTTGGTTTAAATGAAGTGTGCTTTGATATTTTAAGCTTAAAAATTTTTACTAGCAGACCTTGCAATCTGCTAGTAAAGTGCTGTTAAGGACGTGAGTTTTGTTGGTGTAAATAATAACTGTTTATATATTTATAATTAATTTATATTTGTTTCCTAAAATATTTTGATTAAAAGAAAATATGTAAAAGTAGGCAACGCTGTGCCGGTCAAGCTTAATCACGCGACTAAGAGTTTATTTGATATGAATTATATTTATCTAGATGAACGCCATTATTATGATCAACGCCAAGATGTGTTTGTGTGCTTCATAGATTATCAGAAGGCTTTCGACAACGTTAAACACGATATTCTCCTAAAGAGACTGCTCGAGATAGGAATAGACGCCAAAGACATTAGAATCATACAGGAACTATATTGGAACCAAACCGCAGAGATAAGAGTTAACAAAAATTTATCCACAGACACCTTCAATGTCTGTCAAGGAGTCCGCCGGGGCTGTATACTGTCACCAATACTTTTTAATATATACGACGAAAAAATATTTCAAATGGCCCTGGAAGGAGAAAGTGAAGGAATTAAGATTAACAGAGTTCGAATTAACAATATAAGATATGCAGATGATACGGCAATACTAGCACGAACTTTAGAGGATCTCCAGCAAATAATAAATAAGATAGGGGACATGGGAAATCGTTTCGGTCTTAAAATCAACGCTGCCAAGACCAAACTTATGGTAATAGGACGCCAGCCTACAATCAACACCGCATTGACCGTGGATGGAAATATGATAGAGCGAGTTCCACGATTTAAATATCTGGGTGCCATGATCAATCAACGTTAGTTAATTGTAATAGAGATAATAGAGAGATAATAAGTAGTTAATTCATAACAACGTAGTTATGAAGAAACTCTATTAAAATGATATGATGAGGACTGTGACAGTGACAATATGACAATCTGCCATACAAATGCGTTTGACAATGTCAAATATTCCACGAGAAATACACTTTACAATTGGTAGAATATTTCCAATTCCTGTACAACCAGAACATGCCGACGGAGATATTCTTATCCCATAGAGTTCTTATCCTAGTTAAAGAAAATGTTATGTCCTAGTTAATTATTTTTTATTGCCTAGAATGTACGATCATCAATCCATTGTGTAAAACATGTTTAGGAAAACACTGAACTTTGCCTCATGCTGTAACTAAAATCTTTTTCTTAACTTCAGTTTTATAACTTATTTTTTTATATATATATAGTATTAAAAACTTATTTCTATATTGTAATGACTGTTAGTAATTTGGTTTTATTTTTTAGAGCTTAGTAAAAAGCTAATTGATTTTTTTTTCAAATTTATATGTATGTTATTTTGTTTTGTACTATATTTTCTTTAAGTTAATATTAATTGAGCCCAATTTTGTCTAGATTAGTTCAATAATACATAATATAATATTTAATGAAATAAAAATTTGTTATTTTTTAGTTTTTGTGTGTTTTTTAAACTTTTTAGAAGGCGTAGTCCTACAGACTACGCCGGACCGTTTATGATACATTTCTATTACCGGACCAGTTAAGGGTTAAAGCTGATTTTTGGTAAACGGATTGACTGTGGGGTGTAGAGGTTCGATAAGGAGGGGTTTCTCGAATCTCAAATTCGAGAAACACGCCCCTCAAATATTACAATATTTGTTATTTAAAAACGGTTAGTCTTTCGGGAAAACGCTTGGACAAGCATAATTTATTTGGTTTTTTTACATATTTTGAAATTTTTTAAAAAATCATACAGGGTGTTCCAAAAAGTTGAGTAATTTCTTAACCACGATTCTGCTTAAACTGCTTGACGTAAAAAGCATATTTTTGGCAAACGAATTTTTCGAAAGTCAAATTCCAACGAGATGAAACTACCCCTCAAATATTACCAAGTTATATAATAATATCGCCATATTGTTTTTTCTCATGCTGACATAAATGTGAGAAAATTTTATCAGGTTTGTATGTTAATGAAAATTCTTGCTTTGCTTTATCATCGCCATTACAAATGATTAATTCGACGGTAACGAAGTCGTTGGTACACGCTAGTTTATTATAAAAGTAGGTATCAAAAAGGTATTTTAGCCTATACTTAACTAATTTTTATTTATACAGTGTCCGAAATTGATGTTTATATTGCGATCGCGGAAACTTCTAGAGATAAAAAAATGGTTAAATAGGGAAAGTTTTCAGTCAATTCTGTTTGTAATTTATGTTTGTGTTTCTATTTCTATCATTTTTGGTTTTTGAGATATTTTGAAAAATCTCAAAAGAGGCATTTTTGAAAACACCCTGTAATTTCATTATTTATGAAAAATTTTTATTTGAACTTTTTACGGAGATAATATCTGCATAATCAGACTTATGACAAAACAACGAAAAGTATGATTTTAATAAATTTGGCA